AACCTTCGATTTTTCAGGCTCAAGCTTATCGTCCGCGAAAATGCCACACGTTTGCAAGACGGTTCCTGTGGTTTGACGCTTGTTCGACCTTCCTTGAGCAGTAATGACGTTCTTTTGGTCATCCAATGGTTTCCTTAGGTAAATTTGGCAATTCTGGAATACAGCAGCAGCGTTGCCCGAGATAATGTCAACCGTACCTGTAATGTAACAGCCGCGATAGAATTGTCGATGGGTTGCAGCGTGGATCACGCTTTGGTAACCATCCATGCGACAATTCACAATTATTGCATGATCAGCTTGGACCCGGAGTGCCACTGCTTGTAACTTTTCTGGACCCGCTGTGTTTCGGAATCCTATCTTATATGCAATAAATCCATTCCCCGAAATAACTGCAGAGGAAAAAAGAATAGAATTTACTTGACATGTTAAAGTAATGCATTATAGTTATTGTTCATTAGAGATTAGGAGAGGAGGGGAAGTATGAAGAGATAATCACTGCTACAAAGCTCCAAAACAGATTATTTCATTGGTTATGGTGGATTTTCTTTTTCTAATTTGATTCTCTCCAAAAGAAAGAAAAATATATGCTGCCAATGTTGTACCTTGTAAGTTGTATAAACTAATAATACCCCTTCAAAAAAGAATGATTGCGTTTGGAGGTCAGCGTATCTAATTTTCTCGGTCCTTTGGTACATGAGATAAGAATAATAATTTCGAGATAAAGTTTGAAATTAACTTTATCCCATATTTGGTTTGGGGTATTAGCTAATCCTGAGATAACTTTATACTGATTGGATTAGCTATCCCATATAGAAGGTGGGATAGCTAATCGCCATGGGATATCGCTCCATTGTACCAAACGACTCAAATGTCTAAATGTACATGTTCAAAAACTATAGACAAAGTACTATCATAATTTTTATTATTTAACATGTTCCTAGTTAAAGAACAATTTGACCTCCAAAATAGTAAGGAATTAATGTACATACACTAAAAATGCAAATAATTTTAATATCAATAGTGTAATGTAACTTATTTTAGCGGGTTGTCTACCATATTTCAATTCAGGGTATCACACTTTTAAATGACTTGATTATGTTAAGAGTTGGCTGCAATTCTCAATGGGCCGTTTTGGATTTACTTTCTAATTGGAAAGGGAAAGTTAGAATTTGGGTTGTGCTGATTTTTTAATCAGAGTCCTGTTCTGTTGGGAAGATAAATACTTACCAACTGTTGCACTTTGGTACGTTGACAGATCGTCCACAATGTTTTTGCTCCCGGTGATAATACTCTTTTGGGATCCGTCTCCAAAAAATGTAAGATTGGTTTGTGACACAACTACATTCTCTTCATAAACTCCTTCTTTCACATAAATAAAGTACCTGCATTGTCAACATCATATATGAAAATCACAATTTTGATACATCAGCTAGTCTTGATAGGCCCACTATTACTATTTGGAAAAGGATTGTACCTTCCTTCAAAGCTTGGAACTGCCTTTAGAGCATCATTTATGGTAGTAAAATTACCGCTACCATCTTTTGCAACAGTGACGTTTGCAATACCCTTTGGATCTTTAGCTTCTTCTTCTTCCAACATTCTACGATCACCTTGATTCATCCATGTGGGAACGCCTAATCGTGTTGTTAGAAGACGTCTTTTAGCATTATTATTTGGCTTTGGGGATGTTGTTGACAATTCGGACGCAACAGCCAGAGAATTGATGGTATGTTCCCCTATTATCTTCAAGGCAGTTTGTACCGTGGACTGGTCTGCTTCAGGGTATCCATCCACACACATGTCTTGGTATGTTAAAGCTGCACTTAACTTGTTATTGAGTTCAGCTGTTGCTGAGGCGACATCATTAATGCCGCCATCAAGAATGTAAATAGAACTGTTCAAGTCCTTTTTGGCATCAGCAAGGAGGGACATACAATCGTCATAGGCGGTCGATTTCTCTGGAGAATCCTTGTTGATTTTGCCTAGTTCATCAATGCCCTTTGCAATCTCATCAATAGCTGCAGACATGGTTGCCTTGAGAAGATCCGCGGGTTGAGCCCCAGAGGCATTGGTTTGTAAGACTTTTGATAGAATGTCCCCGCATGTTTGATTGAAATCCGTGGCCGCACATATTGCTCCTATAGCTCCTTCAGCTTGTGGTGAAGGGGCTGGTGCTGCTGCATTGTCACCCTCTTGTGGTGACGGTGCAGGAGCATTGTCAGATGGTGGTGAAGGGGCCGCAGCATCCTCAACCAGCGGTGCTGCAGCACCTTCCTCCTTTGGTGGAGGGGCAGGAGGTGTTGATGGTGTGTCATCCTTAGGAGGTGGTGTTGCATCACTTTTAGGGGTGGTTGGTTCTTTTGAGGCGTTCTTGTTAGATTTGTTGGCGGAGGCGTCCTCGCTCTTGTTTTTGAACACAACAAGATAGACAACAGCAGCAGCAACCGCGGCGAGGATGAGGAGAAGTAATACGACAGCGATCATGATTCTTCTCTTCATCTTTTGCTGCCTTTCGAGCTTTCTTCGCTCTGAAATTTGATCAAAAATCTTGAAACGCCATTTTGGATTGAGTCCAGGAATTGACACAGAAATTAGGTATATCTCTGCCCTGGATTCAAGCCAAGGCAGAGATGTTACACCTAGAGCTTTCTTTTTTCTTTTTGTTATTTGTTTTACCCTTTTTTATTCTCTTATTCACTTTAACTTGGCAGATGGACTTGAGTGTGTAAATTTGAGAACCATGATTTCTGTAGGAAATGGAAAATAGAAGTCTGGAGTAGAGAAATTTTAGGACTTGTTATTTGGAGTCCAGAGAGTTAAAACTTCCCAAACAATGGGTGATCCATGTTATTTCTTCCCATTCAAAACTCCATAAAAAGTTCCATTCCATTCAATTGCCGCTTTTCCTTTGACGCCTATCATTTTATCTTTACCTAATTAACAAGAGTACAACACATATTTTATTCTCTATTTCCGCACTGCAATAATTCAGATAATTAAATTGTTACAGGCTACATCGACTGGTCATCGAAAAAAAACTTCTATGGTCACTAAAAGCTAACCCGTGCTTTTCATGTTAAAGTAGGAACTAAAAAGAGAATTTTGTCTTATATGTATTTAATTTTATTAGTGCACGCGATGAGGAGAATCAAGAATAATAAAGTATGTAACCACTTAGCCATTGAATCTTTAAGATAAAACAAAATAAATAGAAAATTCAAGAGTCATGTAAAATGAATAACTTAAATTTAACATGCTATCTTGTCTTGAAGCTAATGTTGAATTACTTGTCAAACACCTTTGACATTAATTGATCAAGAATTATTGACAAAAACTTTGAAAATTTTAAGATATCATAACTTTTACAAAAAATTTAGAACAAAAGACACTTTAAAAGTTTGCAGTTCTTGAAGGATTGTTTTTCCAGTATTCCTCTCCTTTTGGATTAACTTATTATGCATTAATAGTGCAACGATTGTTTTCACAATATCAACTGCATTTTAATCGATCGGTTATATTAGCTTATGTACTTTGTTTGCTATGTTATATTATCAGTTGTTTCTCTCATATTTATGTTCAAAAGAAAGAGTTGAACTTTGATACGTAAAATTCTTTTTACATTATCACGTAATTCTCTATTGGAAATAAACATATATTTGCAAAAAGCAAAATATAATAAGGAAGCTTCTACAATCCACAAAACTACAGTAATAATGTAAAAATATTATATGCTACCAATGTAAAATAATTTAAATCTAAAAATGAATAGGTTTCAAATCTTTCAAATGGTAACTCAGCTACAAATAACACCCATTTTTCAATAAATTGTTTTGGAAGGATAACACACTCGATTCAAGGAGAGGAACTCATGTGACATGCACTTCGATTGAAGCAGATGATTTGTTATATTTACTATTAATATTTACAGTGTAAGATACATAATAAAACTAGAGTCATGGTGTGTGAGATTCGCTTGCTGGTTGATGATTAAAATAAAGACTTTTTTACATAACTTACAAGTGGGATAAAATAAAATACCAGTATAGCCGGACTTAGGGGTGGCAAAACTAGAGCAAACTTCATTTGTAGCCATCCGGAAAAAACTAATTGTAATAGGTAGCCACAAAATAAACCATACAATTAATAGTCCAAAACCAATTACAAGGGCTAGCCCAAAACCATCCTTGCTCCGTTGATCTCTTGGGCGCATGATTTTCATGGTAAGAAAATATTTTTTTCAACTAAAAGGAATTCTCTAGTGACTTTTTGGGATGCTTGATTTATCATTGCCAAATTGGTACTGATCGAGAAATATTTTTTAGTTAACCATGATTTAAGAGGTGATTTTACTTAAAATAAATATTGAACCCTTAGATTTGGAAATGGACAGGTGTGATAAACATAAACGTATACTTGGCAAACTGGAGGACGCTGTAATGGAGGGAGCCTAACAAATGGGTTAATTTCCTCATTGATTTAACTTGGTTAACAGGTTTATTAAAATTATATCATCCTACCCATTGGACACCCACAACAACGGATTAATTTGCAAGTAAGCTAGCATTCAACCCGACCTAACAAGTAGTTGGGAGCATAGGGAGGCCTAGAATTTAGAAGAGAGCAGTGGTAAAGCAGACTTGGGCTTATGAGTATCTGATTACACATTATTTAACTTATATATACTGTAAAAAAATATACCATATCAGCGCATTTTAGCCCGTTGATCTAATTTTTCAAGTGTCACTATACAAAATATATACTAAATAGACTGTCGCTACACAATTTATATACAATAGACTGTTACTATACAAAAAATATACAAAATAGACTGTCACTATACAAAATATATACTAAATAGACTGTCACTATACAAAAATATACAGACTAGACTGTCACTATACAAAAAATATACAAAAGACTGCTACTATACAAAAAATATACAAAATAGACTAACACTATATAAAAATATACTAAATAGACTGCCACTATACAATTTATATATAATAGACTGTCAATATATAAAATATATACAAAATAGACTGTCACTAAACAAAATATATACTAAATAGACTGTCACTATACAAAATATATACAAAATAGACTGTCACTATACAAAATATATACTAAATAGACTGTCACTATACAAAATATATATTAAATAAACTGTCACTATATAAAAAATATACAAAATAGACAATTTGGGCTATTAGATGTAATATGTTTGGGCCGGAGGGCCATTTCGTGTCAATGAGAAAAAATATGGGCTATTAAAATTTTGAGGGGTTATAGAGGGTAGTTTTCTCACAAAACTAACTCAAACTCATTTGACCCGTCCAACCTGCACAAATTTAATGGGTTTGGGTTAGAATGATTTTGAAAATAGGCTTGTTTCGCAAAACTAACCCAAACTCATTTGACCCGTCCAAAATTCTTTTTCAACCTTCTCCATCTCCACCAACACCCACCTCCCCTACCTCACCCCCACCNATATTTTCTTTTATTTTAACAAAATGAGTATTTTCTTTTCATGACGTAGAAAAAATATTTTCTTTCATTTCGACAAAATGAGTACTTTCTTTATTGACGGTATTCCTGGAGATAGCGACAATCACGATGTCGAGTGATTTATTTAACTAACTGTGGTGACAAAATAATCATCAAACATGAAAAAACAAAATCTGAAGATAAAGAAAAAACACATTATCACAACATAAAAATAACAAATAAAATTTATAACAAAAAAATAAAGGACGGGTACTGAGCTATTCTTTAGGTATCGAAAGAAAAGAAAATACTCACTTTATTGAAATGAAAGAAAATACTTTTTCTATAACATAAAAAGAAAATATTCTTTTTGTTGAAATGAAATTAACGTAAATACCTTTTCAATAACATGAAAAGAAAGTACTTATTTTGTGAAAAATAAAATACCTTTTCTACGTCATGAAAAGAAAGTACTCTTTTTGTTGAAACCAAAAAAAAAAATACTTTTTCTACAACATGAAAAGAAGTACTCATTTTGTGCAAAAGAAAATACTATTTTTTCATCATGAAAAGAAAGTACTTATTTTATTGAAATGAAAGAAAATACTTTTTCTATATCATAAAAGAAAATTTATTTTATTGAAATGAACAAAAATAATCTATCTACAATATTAAAATAAACTATTTTTTTTACAACAGGAAAAAAAAGTACTCATTTTGTGAAGAAGAAAATACTTTTTCTATATCATAAAAGGGAAGTATTCTTTTTGTAACAAAAGAAAATACTTTTTTTACAACATGAAAAGAAAGTACTCATTTTGTGAAAAATAATATTCTACATTATAAAAAGAAAATACTTTTTTTATTAAAACAAAAGAAATAATTTTTTACCACAAAAAGAAAGCACTAATTTTATGATTTTTTTTTCTTTTTCTACATCATAAAAAGAAAGTACTCTTTTTATTGAGACAAAAGAAAATATTTTTTCTACAACATAAAAAGAAAGTACTCATTTTGTGAAAAAGAAAATACTTTTTCAACATCGTAAAAAGAAAGTACTCTTTTTGTTGAACCAAAAAATATACTTTTTTTTATAACATGAAAAGAAAGTACTCGTCTTGTGAAAAAAATACTTTTTCTACGTCCTGAAAAGAAACTAACTTATTTTATTGACAATAACCAAAATAACAACAATAAATCCAGTATAATCCCACAAGTGGAGTTTGGGGAGGATAGTGTGTATGCAGCCCTTACCCCTATTTTGAGGGTAGAGAGAATGTTTCCGATAGACCCTCGGCTCAAGGAAAGAAATGAAAGAAAATACTTTTTCTCCATCATAAAAAGAAAATATTTATTTTGTTGAAATGAAAAAGAAAATACTCTAAAAATAGTATTCTAAATAATATTTCTATTTAGGATGAGGGGTGAGGGTTCGAGGATAGGGTGGGGGTTGGGGTGGTGGGAGGTTCTAATTTTATTAATTTTTTATTATTAAGATCTTTGTAGTATTATAAGATGAAGAACTATCAAATAAAATTCCAAATCCAAATTGAGAAAAGAAATCGTTTGGCATGAATTGACATTTATTCCAAAACATAAGATAATTTTTATATATGCTTGTTTAAATGTTAAGAATATTATAAAGATTTGGGTCAATTTTGACGAGTTGGGGTACAACCTTTTGTTTAGCTCATCTTGACCTAGTGCATCTTAACCCAAGTGTGTATAGGCCAAAAACCTGCCCTTGGAATATTTAGCATAAAATGGCATTAATGAACGTCATCGGTCGAGCTCGCCTAAGACATAACGTGAATAACGGCCGAGGTGTCGATATAAGCCGTAGTCGAGATAGCAATAGAGATCGCAGTCAAAATGTCAACAAGGGTCGAGGTCGAGATCGATTATTAGTGATAAGACTTGTAACGACTAATTTGTCATAATAGGGTATTGAAAATGGGAATATTCTAGTGAATATTCGTGGTGTTTGTATTATTAGGGTTTTCTAAGAAAATGGGCCCATATATATAGAAAACGGAGACAGTGATAATGGTACGTAATATTTGGCTGATAAGAACACTTTTGAGAAGAAAACTCTCTTTCGGATAAAAATACAAAGGCTGCCTTTTTATAAAGATTCTTGTTCATATTATTCCCCGCTTTTCCACCAGATCCAAGGATTGGTCATGCAAATCTTGGATCTATCTGTCATTCCTCATTGTGAGGCAGAATATTCACCTTGTCCATTCATTATCGGGTGAATCATTCTCTTTATTTACATAAACACCATTTATTAACATTTATTGCTAGATATATCTCATTTAATGTTCTTGTTCTAAGAGTATTTCAGATTAATTGACATCAATCATATGCAAACTCAGCCTCATATATCTTGCATCCTTATACTTAATATCTAGAGTCATTATCCTTAACTAGATTTGACCCGTCATTATATAAATTTAATAGTATAACCGGAGATTATATTTCTTGGTCAAACAATTTGGCGTTGTCTGTGGGAATTTTCTAGCTAAGCTTTTTAGTTTCTTCTAGATCTACAACCGACACTGATTGCTGACGTAAAAAAAGAAGAAAGAAAAGAACCTTTTTCTCTCCGCTTGCATAGATCTAACATGGCAGGTAACAGAGAAGAAAGAGTAAGAATTATGAGTGGCCTCTCAACCAACCTCGTGGACATCATCCACGAGAGCTCGGAGGTAGTGGACGAGAACACAACGCCCAATGCCTCTCCTAGGCGAGGTGGATTACCCCCTCCCCATTGCAGCATCACGCAATCCCTTGGCAAGACAACCTCCACATCCATGGGAGAGGAGGCACCGCCAGTGATAAAGAAGCTTCTCGAAGCCTGATACACTGACCATCGTCCTACATAAGCCCGTTCAGGGCACGGCCGCAGTGACTGCGAGAACCTATGCTATGCCACCAGAGAACGATCGACATGATCAACTTCCCCCCGCCCGCAACAACAAGTATCACTCACAATGTCATTAATAATGCAGGTAATGACGCCCTCACAATCGTTCTGAAAAGGATGGAAGAAATGAAAAATTAGAACAAGGCAATTCGAGACCAAATGAGAGAGCACTGAAAAAGGGTCGATAAAATACCAGGCGCTCCTAAGTTATTACCAAAGAGAGATGCCGGCCGGTTTGTCGAGCAGTCGTACAGCGACAACGTTGCCCAACACGCCATACCGAAGACTTTTAAAATGCCACCCTACTTGAAATTATACGATGGCACGACTGACCCCGAGGACCATTTAACCCACTACGTCACCGCCGTGAAAGGAAACGACCTCACAAAGGAACAAGTATCCTCCGTTCTGCTAAAGAAATTCGGCGAAACCCTCACAGGAGGAGCACTAACCTGGTACTCACAATTACAAGCCCGTTCCATCCAAACTTTCGAGGAAATGGTCGATAAATTCGTGACGGCCCACGCCGGAGCCAAAAAGGCCGAGGCAAGAGTGAATGATATCTTTGCTATCAAACAGTTGCCAGGAGAAGGACTTAGGGATTTCCTCGCCCGTTTTAACCGAGTGAGAATGACTCTGCCCATTGTATCAGAAGGAATGGGGATGACCGCTTTTCAAAATGGACTGAACAGAAATGGTTCGAGAGTGACAAGAAAATTACTAAGTCGGCTTATGAAATACCCCCCAACAACTTGGGTCGAAATACATAATGCATATTGTGCCGAAGTTCGAGCAGACAAAGACGACCTCAATGGGACAACTCATTGACTGACCTCAGTATAAGAAAAATCCAGAAAATATCGGAGAAGTGATATCAGAAGAGATCAGGCAACCTCACGGCCAAACCGAGACCGACATCTCCCATATGTCAGAACTACTACTATACCCTCATCCCGCCATGAAGAAGGCCCACCCCAGTCAAGAACAGGGACTGACCGGAATGAAAGAGGTATGCCTCCCTTATTATCCTCTCACAATTTTTACGTGTCACCTACAGAGATCATCTACGCCCTGGAGAAGCTCGGGTCAAAGGTGAAGTGGCCGCAAAAGATGAGGTCAGACCCGAATACCAGAAAATCAAACACCCTCTATGAGTTCCATCAGGAGCGAGGACACAAAATCGAAGATTGCATCGCCCTAAGACAGGATGTCGTAAATATGCTGCGGCAGGGGCACCTCAAAGAACTACTGAGCGATTGGGGAAGAACTAACTTTGCCAGGGGGCGCGAACAACATCAAGGACCACCGAAGCTGCCCTCACCAGACCACACCATCCACATGATCATCGGCGGTGAAAATGATGCTTCCATCAACAATGTAAAATTCACCACGACCCACAAGCTCAAACGGTCGATCACCCGCAAACGATATGACGAACTCGAAAAGAGTATCATCTTCGATAAGTCAGATACCAACAGTTTGGCATTCCCTTACTATGACGCTCTTGTTATTTCTTTACGAATTTTAGATACCGAGGTAAGACGTATTATGGTAGATGACATAAGCGACGCGTGTATTATCCATCCCCGAGTACTCACAAATGAAACTCGAGGACAAGATAGTACCACGCTGCATCACACTAACGGGTTTTAACAATGCAGTTGAACGAACGTTTGGAGAGATCACACTCCTCGTCCCGGCGGGTGATGTCACTCTGGAGACCACATTCCACATCATGGATCAGGACAACATACAACGCCATAATAGGGCGACCGTGGATACACACAATGAGAGCTATACCTTCCAGCTTGTACCAAGTCATCAAATTTCTAACTCCATGGAGGATATTCAACATACGTGGGGAACAACGTACATATCAAGAATGCTGTTGCATCGCCCTAGACTGCACGACCACTCAACAAATGAAAGACAAAGAGAAGGCAGCATAGCAATCAACAAGGTCGAGGTCGACAGACGACGACATCAAAGATGTTATCAAAGACCCCGATGTGGCCGAGGCCGCAGGATCGAGAGGACCTCGACCCCGTTCAACTAGATGTCAACTATCCCAACAAGAAAGCTTACATCGGCTGCAAACTCCAAGATCCAGGTATGTTTCACAAATTCTTAATTGCTAACACCGACCTGTTTGCTTTTAGTCATGCAGATATGCCAGGTATCCCAAAAGAGATCACCACACATAGATTGAATGTCGATCCACTCTATCCCCTGGTAAGGAAGGTTTGACACAAGTTCAATTCCGCAATCAATGATGTGGTGCGCAAAGAAGTGGAAACATTATTGGAAAATGGCTATATTAGAGAGTCAAAGTACCCCCAATGGGTCGCCAACGTGGTCATGGTAAAAAATAAAAATGGCAAGTGGCGAATGTGCGTGGATTTCACCGACCTGAACAAAGCTTGCCCTAAGGATTTGTTTCCACTACCTCATATCGACCAACTCATCGATGCGACAACCAGACATGAGTTGCTGAGTTTCCTGGATGCCTACTCGGGCTACAACCAGATCCTTATGGAGGAAGCGGACCATGAAAGACCACCTTCATCACCCACCAGGGGACATACTGCTACAGGGTCATGCCTTTTGGACTGAAAAATGCGAGGGCAACTTACCAGGGACTGGTGACGAAACTGTTCGAAGAATAACTCGAAAAGATGATGGAAGTATACACCGATGACATGCTATTCAAATCCAAAAGGAAAGAAGATCACATCGATCATTTAAGAGAAGCCTTCGACATACTCAAGCAATACAACATGAAGTTAAACCCTGAAAAGTGCGCATTCGGCGTAGCCTCAGGAAAATTCTTGGGTTTCTTAGTGTCGAAGTGGGGTATCGAGGTCAATCCAGACCAAATCGAGGCCATCGAGGTTATACCAGAGCACTTGACCATCAAAAAACAAGTCCAAAAGCTAACCGTATCGCCGCCCTGTCAAGGTTCATCTCGCGGTCCTCCGATAGGTGCCATAAATTCTTCGGCGTACTTAAATAGGAAAACGGCCTCCAATGGACCCCTGAATGCATCTAAGCATTGAAGGAGTTGAAGGTATACCTATCTTCTCCACCGTTTATCTCAAAATCGGAACCGGGACAACCTCTCCTCCTCTATCTCGCCATATCCGAAGTAGCAGTGAGCGCAGTCCTAGTCCAAGAAAATAAAGGTACGTAATATCCCATCTATTACATTAGCAAGACACTAGTCGACACCGAGATGAGGTACCGCCACCTTGAAAACTGGTTCTGGCCTTAGTCGTAACTTCACCGAAGCTTAGACCGTATTTCAATGCCATCCCATCTCAGTCTTCACAACTTTCCCCTTAAGAAGAATTTTACACAAACCCGAATTTTCGGGCAGATTGGCCAAACGGGCCATCGAACTAAGCAAGCACGATATCACATATCAACAGAGAACGACGATAAAGTATTAGGTCCCCGCCGACTTTGTCGCCGATTTCAGTGCGCATATACTGCCCGAAGTAAAAAAGGAAGCCCTCCACACTTCTCAAACACACGACCTCTGGGTCCTATACACCGATGACACATCTAATACATCGGGGTCCGGGCTGGGACTCGTACTTGAAGTCCTAACGGGCGAAGTGATTCGCCTATCCATAAGGTTCCCGGACATGACTAACAACGAGGCCAAGTATGAGGCCATAATTGTAGGACTAAGACTAGCACTCAAATACGGGGCGGAGCAGCTAAGGCTGCGCTACGATTCTCAGCTCGTGGTCAACCAAGTCACATGGACTTTCCAAATCAAGGAGAAGAGGTTACAAAAATACTAGACCGCAATCTGCAAACTACTACCGGAGTTCGATGAATGTCAGCTCGACCAGATTCCCCGAGCATAGAATATCAAGACAGACAGCCTCGCCAAATTGGCAGCAGCCACCAAAAACATCACAACCGGTGACCAAAGTGTGGTCCACCTCTTCAATTCGTCGATAGAACAAATCGATGTAAAAAATGTAAACCTAACTTGGGACTGGCACAACCGTATTGCTACATATTTGCAGGACGGTATACTCCCTAATGATTAAAAAAGGCCAAGAAATATCGGACGCAAGCATCCAGGTATAGCATCGTTCACAACGACCTGTACATAAGGACATATGGAGCCCCCCAGAGAAATGCTTGGGCCCAATTGAGATGCGGTGCGTCCTTGAAGAAGTACATGAAGGCCACTGCAGAGCTCACTCTAGCAATCGAGCATTGGTCAGGTGCCTCATACGAGCAAGATACTATTGGCCAACCATGAAAAGAGAAGCCACAGATTTCGTGAAACAATGCGAGCAATGCTAGAAGTACGCCCCAATGATCCATCAAGCAGGCGAACAACTACACTCAGTGACTTCCCCTTGGCTGTTCATCAAATGGGGAATGGATATCGTGGGCCCCCTCCCGGCCGTACGAGGTAATGTACGATTTCTCTTGGTTTTAACTGATTATTTCTCTAAATGGGTGGAAGCAGGAGCATTCGCCTAGATACGCGAAGAGGAAGTAGTCTCCTTCATATGGAAAATAGCCCCACATCTCAGAACCCGATAAAAATTATAAAATCCGAAAGTCCATTCAACCATGAGTCCAACCATACCAATTTTACTAAATTCCGACATCAACTCGGCCTCCAAATCCTCAAATCTTATTTTTAAATCCCTAGGTTCAAATCCCTGATTTACACCACAAAAACACGTAATCTAGTCGGATTATTTGATGATAATTCAATATTATAGAGTAGAAATGATCACAAGTGACGTACCTCAACTTTTCTATGAATTCTCTCTCAAAATCGCTCCAAAACCCGTGCTTAAAAGTCCAAAAATGGAAAAACTTAGAACCCCTTCGAAATGTATACTATCCAGGGGTTCTGCACCTGCGACTCACTTAGTCGCTTCTGCGGTCTCGCAGGTGCGAGAAACCAACCGCTTTTGCGGTTTTCCAAGGCCTCCGCTGCTGCGAGCTCGCATTTGCGAGGCTCGCTCTGATTCTGCGGAGTTTGCGCTTCTGCGCCCATCCATCCGCATCTGCGATCACGCAGGTGCGAAAATTCCCTCGCACTTACGACCACTGCCTCACAGCCCCCTGCCCGTATCTACGCTTGCTAAGCTCGCACCTGCGAGCAAATTTCCGCAGGTACGATTGCATCAGATGGCAGAAACTTTCAGATTTTCTTCTAAGTCCGAATTCGATCTGTTAACCATCCGAAACTTACCCGGGACCTCACCCAAATATACCAACAAGTCCTAAAATATCA